AGGGTCTGCATCAGTGTGGATGAGGGCAGTCACTGTATTGGCTGGAATATTGAGGGAGTCTGCATCAGTGTAGATGAGGGCAGTCACTGTATTGGCTGGAATGTTGAGGGGGTCTGCATCAGTGTGGATGTGGGCAGTCACTGTAGATGAGGGCAGTCACTGTATTGGCTGAAATGTTGAGGGGGTCTGCATCAGTGTGGATGAGGGCAGTCACTCTATTGGCTGGAATATTGAGGGGTCTGCATCACTGTGGATGAGGGCAGTCACTGTATTGGCTGAAATGTTGAGGGGGTCTGCATCAGTGTGGATGAGGGCAGTCACTCTATTGGCTGGAATATTGAGGGGGTCTGCATCACTGTGGATGAGGGCAGTCACTGTAGATGAGGGCAGTCACTGTATTGGCTGGAATGTTGAGGGGGTCTGCATCACTGTGGATGAGGGCAGTCACTGTAGATGGGGGCAGTCACTGTATTGGCTGGAATGTTGAGGGGGGTCTGCATCAGTGTGTAATATTCTACATAACATACTCCAGTACTAAATGTATGTCTGATTTATGGAAGGCAGTTAATTAAGCGAACTTGAGTGAACTGCATGGTATCAATCAATCAACACCTGGTTCAGAGTTGTTAATGGTGGTCATAAATCAAATACATGAACTGCTATTTGAAATTTGCCCTGCATTAATCTTGAAGCAGTCATATTATAATTCCAACCAGAGTAAGGTGTTGTATTTCTTATGCCAAGCACCTCACTGTCTAGTAAAACATTGTATCTGCTACATGTAGATATACATGTACATGTATTCCAAATAAATCCATGATAAGTTGTGATTAGTTGAACCCACTAATAGTAATAATCACCCAAGTTTGAGTTACACCTATATTTGTCTGGTTGTAGGAAAATTCACAATAAAATGTGAAAAAATGTGAAATATTTTACTACAAATGTTGCGGATAGCTTAGTAATTTAATGGACCATGTTGTCCTTCACTATGGCTTTGTTCAATGTCTGTCAGCTTTCAGCCTGTCTAGTCATACAAGATTTACTAAGCATTTCATTTATACAATGGCTTCCTATCATCAATAGACACTTCTTGATTGTATCCACAGTCACTCTTCATGACTGACCCCTGTCACAAAGTGATTAAAGTTGTGGCTGTCATTTAAATTGTAAAAATTGAATCAAAATCAAGATTTTGCACCGTGCCAAGCAAGCATAGATGAATGAACATTTCATTTTACACGTATTCATCTTAGATTATATTTTGGTAAATATTATTTTAACACCATGGTTTGGACATGCCTGGACAAATCACATTCAAAGTTTTCAAATACTAATACATAATGCATCATGACACCCATTCCTTGTTCCATGATGTCATTTATGATGGCTGATTGGAAAAAATTTGAAAGCAGGATAGATGTATGAATTTTGTTTGACTATAGTACTTCATGTACCTTACTGCCTCATACCTGTCTGATTCACCAGGACAAATGTATGTCACTTATATTATGATAATTTTAACAGTACAAAAATGTGGGGTTAGTAGTTTTGTTAGTATAATGGTCACTTCATTGCAGTTTCTATACATACTATTATTAGTCATTTACGCAATATAATGTGAAAAAATCTGTCTATCCAGTCCAAACCTCTAAGAAATAATTCAAGCCAAAAAATGTTGTTCACTTAAGTATTATAAACACACTGTTGAAAGCTCCCCTCATATTGATTTAGGGATGACCCATTTAAAATCTGGGAAGGGAGCTGGAGAAAATTGCAAATGTTTTTCACACTACTGTGGCAAGATGTTTTTTCCTGAGAGGATCTCTGAACATTATTTTTAGCTCCGCTGTCGACTTTGTCGAGCGGAGCTTATCATATGAGTGATTGT